AATAATAAAAGCTAAAATGTTAGTAAAAATTAAAAGTAACAAAATGTGATCTAAAAGATTAAGGTACAAAATGCAACGAAAAGTAACAAAAAAGTTATATAAAACTAAAGTAGCAAAAAGATAGATAAAAAATACCAAAGGCCTAGATAGATGCTAAAATCAGCAAAAGGCTAGCTGAATGATAAAAGTAAAAAATTTATATCCAAAACTAAGACTAGCTAAAAAATAAAAATAATAACAGGGATAACTAAACGTAGCAAAAGGTTATCCAAAACTAAAAGTTGCAAAAGTCAGCTAAAAATTTCAAAAGGGTTAGCAGCATTATGACAGTTTATTCTGTCAGAAGGCTAGAAGCTAAAAGTAGCATCTGGCTATCTAGAAACTATTAGCAACTRGCTAACATAAAGCTAAAACTGTCAAATGCTAAAAGTAGGAGAACGGTAGTGTAAGAATAAAATTATTAAATGATGGGAGAAATCTATTAAAGTCGATTTCAAAGATGTTTTATTTTGATGTGAAAAGTATRGGTGAATAAAATAAAGTATTTGGATAAAAGTTAAATTTGATTTTGTTGCTCTGTGAATAAATCTTTTTTTTTTTTCTCAGATGACACTCAGCTCCACACATTCAGGACAGGCAGCGGTGAGTCCTGCTCATATAAACCATCACCTGCAAACCTGTCAGATTATAATCTCCTGCTTTAATCTCAGCTGCAGACGTGAAAACAGGCTCGTCGGTGAAGAACAGGGGGTTTTCCAGCACCGCGGTGGTCGCTGGGATCGTGGCTGCGCTGGTGTTACTCCTGGCTCTGGTCCTGGTCGCCGTTTTCATCCACTGCCTTCCTGCTGCGTCACCGCTTCACCTGATTCAGGTGAGTTACAAACAAACCCCGCCTCGTTTCTGCTTCATATAATTAATTCAACCCTTCTCTGTCTCACAGAGACGCAGCAGCTACTGGCCTTCCCTGAAGTTTCAGAAGCAGCAGTCCGGTTACACAGAGGTGGACGGAGAGGGTTACGACAAATTCAGCATTGTTGAAGCTGGAGCGTGTTAAAAATAAAAACTSTATATTTTCTACATCAAATCAGTTACGATGGAGAAATGAAATTCCAGTTTCTGTACCTTTTTTGCCTGCAGCTATTTTTATTTTTTAAATAAACCSTAACATTTTTTTTACAGAAGTATTGTTTATTTTGATGCATTTGTTTAAGATAAATACACCTCTGGTCTGAGGATGCTTTAGAGCAGTGTTTCCCAAAGTTGGGGTCGGGACCCAAAGTGGGGTCCCGAAACATCAAGGTGGGGTCCTGAAAAGATTTTATGAATTAATTCCATTTTTGCCTTAGTTSTTACAAAGGAGTGAGGTTAGTGTATTTAAAATGGATAAATGTAGTATAAAAAATATTGTTACTATGCCCATGTTTAGTTGACCTGATACAAATGTTTATCATCCAAAAARAGRTGGGGGCWCAGGTCTCTGRTACTGTTATTTTGTGGGTCAAAAGCTGAAAAGTTTGGGAACCACTGCACTTTGGTTCKCAAAGTTGGGCTTGGGACCCAATTATGGGTCATGAAGCACCTTGGATAACCTCCAGAAATCAATTTAAAGGGTAATAAAATAATTGATGATGTAATATTTTCCCTATAACTACTACAAAAACACACAAAAGAAAGTTTAAATAAATTTTTATATTTGTGTACAAGCTGTTTAGATTGTCAAAAAGCCTGTGTTTTTAGGGTTATTAACAAAGTTCGTGTACTCAGACCAGTAATATTTGGGGTCACAAGTTTTCGCCATGGGTATTTTGTGGGTCAGAAGATAAAAAGTTTGGGAACCACTGCTTTAGAGTGCCCCAAGTGTAGCTGGGGGGATGCTGGGGAGAGGGAGGTCTTTTACCTCTTGGACCAGACTACAAATGAGATGATGAAGATGGAGAAATCTTAGGCCTCAACCAGCAGGTGGCGCCCTAACCATATGTTTCACATCAGGACGTGCAGTGAACGTGGCAGATATGTTTAAAATAGGCAAAAAATCTGATTTGGGAGCTTTTTGAATTTGTCAAGCCCCCCAAAAACCTACAGGATGATGGCATGAGTTTACCATGTGAGCACATCTGGGTCTTGAACAAATGTGGAAGAGACGCTCAGGGCTGTAGCTTATATATATATGTATTACGCTTTAAAGATTGTAAGCTATAAGAAGTTATTTGAAGTTAATGAAAAAAGAAATCACCCCRATTATTGAGCCTGTGTGAACGCGCATGCGCATTAGAGGCAGGGCAGCTGGAGGAGCGCGCGCCTCCGTGTCTGCTGCCTGGTTAGTGACAGCCAGCTGTGCGGCTACAACAAACAAGCTCCTCTCCCGCTACACGCAATCAGGTTCGGGTTTTCTTTTCTTTTTTTTTTTCGTGGTCCGGTGCCGACCGTAACCCCCCACGCTTGGAGCTGTCTCCGAACCGAATCCTCGACGGCGACGCTGCTGCGACCCGGTCCAAACCGCGTTTTTCTGGGCGAATAAAAACCAAAAAAAGAAAAGAAGCTAGGCTCAACATGAATCCGTCGTGTGGCAGATGTGGTCAAGTCGTTTACCCCACGGAAAAAGTGAACTGTCTGGACAAGGTAAGAGCACGAAATCTTATATATATTTACGTTTTCTATGTATTCCCTATTTTTTGGGATTTGTTTTCCCTTCATTCATTGTCGGTTGAGCTCATTTCTCGACTGAAACCGAGCGGCTCGCCTGTATTTTTTGGTGAATGAATCGGAACTGCCCCGAACGGAACAGGTATTTCGACGTTAGCATGCTAGCTGCTAGCTAATGTCTGGGGGGGGGACGCGAAGGCTCAACAGCGTTGTTTTTTCGATGAAAGTAACGAGTTGTGTTGATATTAAAAACGGGTTCTGGTGTGTTTCACGAAGACCGAGTCGGACCCAAAAGGTGTCGAATCACCCACCTAAAAGCGGTGCTTCCCTAACGAGCCCGAGCCTGGTCTGAGGCCTGACAGGTGTTGTGCTAAAAATGCAAACCCTGCCAATCTTTACCTTTTTTTCTCCTTTATTTAAAAAACACAAACGCCCTTGTTTCCAAGTAAATCCATCAATGTACAGATTTTAAACGTAAAGTGTTTCTATTATTTATGTAAATGATACTAAACTGGATTAAATGTGTTCTCATGTCCCGTAAAAATCTCTCATTTGTCTCAAATACACCAACTCTAATCCTAATCTGGGATGATTAGTGCATCAGGTTTAGTTTCACCTAAAAGCGCCACGAGCCCTAATCTCAGTCAAGGTGATAATCTCATCAATTTTAACCCACACTGACTTGGAGGAGGTCAGTAATTCTTTGGAGAGCTACAAGTGACCGAGTTCCTGTTTTTTTATTTTTATTTTTTAAAGGAAACGAACTTAAAACCTTTTGGACTGCTGCTTTTATTTATCCAAACCGACTCYAACATTTAAAACTGCAACAAGACGAAGTGCACAATAATAATAGTCTGGGTGTGGTCTTTTGCTTTGCATACAAATGGCAGAAGCTGTGCAGCTTTTATTTGATTTTATTTTAAATTCAAGTAGATAATTTGTCTAATGGATGCCTCAGAGACAATTGAAAATCAATCCCTTTTTGAGATGTGCTTATCTGTCAGGGGGTTGACGGGCGAGGGAGGTGAAGAAAAGAGCTCACAAAGCACTTTTATCTCAAGTAAACATCAGCTCTGGAATGGATGCACCACCAGAATGTGTTCCGAGATCAAGTTGATTTACATCAGCACCCTGGCATTACAGAGGCATCTTCTTTGTGGGAGGGATGTTGGTGTGTTTGGAAATCAAATTGCCACAAGTGCAGTCCAAATGTGCTCTGTAATCTGGCCCCGAAGCAGAGTGCATTCCAGCAGACGGACACTCCCAGTAAGCGTGCTCTGTCCCGGGCCTGCTGGGTCGTTTCCCCTCCCCTGAACCGAGCAGAGACTTTTAAAACAACCAGACTTTCCTGATACTCTTATCAGATTTAAATGAAAACGTGTGTGTTGACAACCGGTTGGCCAACACGAGAAGTTGTGTCTTGGTGTGGTAGTAGCTGACAGTCCTCAGCATGCAGCTAACAACACCTGCATGCYATGCTGCGTAACAAAACAGCTAAAACTGCATCCCTTTTTCGTCATTTTAGTCTAAAACCTGGTGATAATTTATCTTGCTGATAAATGTTTTCACCTGGCAGGAGAAGGCTGAAGCTGGTTTGAATGTTTGCGTAACAGGGCTGGGCCCCGGCTGTAGCTGTAGCAGCGTGCCGCCAAACACAGTCACACACACACACACACACACACACACATACATACGAAGACAGGAAGTGAATGTCAGCTCAAGCTCTTTCTCAGTAACCGTTCTGCCTTCTGATTTTAGCTCTCGTTCAGGGCCTAAAATACCAGCTGGTTCGGAGGAACCGTCAAACGTACTTTTCAGATCGTATCTATCAGAAACTTTTTCTTTGTTGCTTTATTTAAAAGTTTCGTTAAACTTTGCAACGAGGAAGATGTCGTGTGTGAGCGGAATGATTTATCTGTCAAAGATTAGCAGCCATTTTCAACCTTTCAGTGGGACGAATGTGTTTTTTAATAACAAACTTATAGAGTAAAAAAACTGACACTGCGCTTTTCTTGCAATATATACATATATATATATTGTGATATGACAAACTTTTCAACAGATGACTTTAAGTTCTGCTGCCATCTTACCTGATGGTGTTCTGGTGGCTCATCTGCAGGTTTTGTTCAAAAGTACGAATCAAAATTTTAAATTCGAACAATTAAAGGAGAATCTACGTGTCTGCCCCGGTTTCAGTCGGTACTCGAGACTCGATTCCTAACCCTAGCTGGGACCTGAGTGCAGCTCTACTAGACAGCTGATTAACTTTTGAAGTTAACTCAATTCAAGATGGCTGCCACAGCTGATCAACATTAGCCTAAACTGCATGACTATGTTTATCTTAGTGTATTTTACAAATATTGAACTAAAATTAGGTGTGGCCGTAGCTGACAGCTCATGAGAAATGTCAGGTCTTAGTTTGGTTTTATTTTTTGCAGCCTGTTGCAGAGAGGCTGCTTGTCTTCGTCTTGTTGCACCTACAGAAGATGCTAAAGGTCACACGGTTTAACAGATCTAAGAAGAGCTTCTCAAACACAACAAGTCTTGAGCTTAACATGCTTTTTTGTAAAGAATAACACGGAACAAACTCCAGAAAGTTTTAAAAAAGTACTGCTAAAGCAGGCTCGGCCTAAATGTTTTGCACAGTCTGTGTTTTGTCTTGCTCGTATATGCACATTTCCAGTTGTCGGTTGGGTTGGATGCTGCACTTTGTGGCAGCCGTGTTAGATTTCTGGTTAAGAAGTGAGTCGTCGTCATTTTGCTTCTGCTCAGTACCAGGAAATAACTGCAAAGACGGGTCAAAGGTTAGACCATCATTACTTTATGCAGCACTGTACGGCCATTACTGAGAGTAAATGCTTCCTCCCATGGATTTAGCCACTTTTTTTTCAACTGACTATTATCAAGTTTAGAAAGTAGAAAGTGGAGCCAAAGACAATGTTTAAGATGAGCTGTGACTGTTTTGTTGGCTTTCCAAAAAAAGTTTCTTCCAATGTTTTTTTTTATTTTATTATGTTTAGTCGAGTTTTTCTAAAAGAATCATTTCCTCCAAATGCCTTATGAGGTAAGAAAGCTAACAGTGAGAACAACGGAAACCACTTCACATCTTCAAGCTTTTTAAAAAAATTTTTAATCTATTTTAATATACACTCACCAGCCACTTTATTAGGTACACCTGTCCAACTGCTGGTTAACACTTAATTTCTAATCAGCCAATCACATGGCGGCAACTCAGTGCATTTAGGC